CCAGTGGTAGCTGGGCTGGTCCTGGAACAGGAGACGTTCGAGATAAGTCAAGCTTGTGAACTTGGGCCAGCTCTGCGTGAAGCAGCCCTGCTGCTTTCAGCATCCGAGCTGGCATGGCCATGCCGTGGGTAGACTAGCTTAGCGTGTCACTAGCTTAGCTTTGGGCTACCTGTACCATGTCCCAGTATCATAGACACATCCATAAAGGTGCTTTTCTTGTGGTACCGGGACTCCTGCAGGGATGTGGCATTCACAGAACAGATTTCTGCTCCTTGGTGCTCCTACCTGCTCCTACTAAACTTAGCAATGGGCAAAGTTCACGCTCTTGCGAGGCTTTCATGAAGTATATCCTCACCTTTGGGTTTTCTTCCCTGTTTTTCTTGTGGCTTCTTTCACCCTCTCTGGTGGTCTGTCCCAGTGATTTCCAGCATCTTGTGGCCTTTTCTGGATAACAGCCAACACGGCTCAAACGTCCTGGAGAATCCCTTTTTCTTTCCCTGTTGCCTCCGCTGTTTTTTCTGGACACTCTTAATGACTTGTCACCTCTGGTCTGCTCAGTTGTGTGACTGCGGGTGGGAAGCCCCACGCTTACTCTGAATTTTTGCCAGTTCTGTCGATAATCTCTACAAATTCTGCTGTAGTAAAACAACACAATATCCCAGTTGGGATCAGGATCTCGTTGTACAGCAGAGAATATGGACACAGGGAAACTTTTATTCCATGCAGTGCTAATAGTGTGTCTCACTTTAATAAAATTGCAAGGATCTTTATTGTTCTGAAATACATTAAACCGTTGTTGCTCTTGGCAATCTGCTATTAACCCTCTTTCATGCTGTGATTAGCCTTCTATTCATACATTGTTTCTTGTCTGTTAAATAGATTTTAATTGAAAATAGGACTTCAACTTGGTGCCTTGTGGCTTCAAAACTAATTGATTCTTCTTAAAAGCATAAAGGAACCCTTTCCATCAGGCATGGGGTGCATTAGGCTTTTTAATGGAGGGATGCACTGGACTAGGGTTGGCGCCGTTTCTAGGCTAGTTAAATTACATTCACTACTTCTCCTTTGTCTAATCTTTTGGTTTTGCTATAAAAGCAAGTCTTTCAGGTTAGAGAAATTACTTACAAATGTTGTGCTGGTTTATCCCTATTATGTTATACACATGTAGGTGTTTTTATAACACAACTTATTCCTTTGTGATTTTCTCAAGTAATTTCCCTTTGTATTGATCCAAGTGTCTTTGGTTTATAAGTCCTGGCAAAGGCAGTAAGAACTTTCACAAAGATATGCCATCCCTTTCTTGTACCCTGGCAATCATTAATTTGTCTTAGTTTTGCCAAAAGATGTGGTAAACGTCTGGATTTATTGCCTAGAGAATTGAATATTAGCTAAAATATGGCTGCACCAGTATATGAGATAGTCCTGATATTCTTTGTGTGTATACCAGATATGCTAGAGATATTTAGAAATGTCTCATTTAGGTGTTAATATCAGAAATACTTGATTTTTTCATTGTAAAAGGGAAATTAAGTTAAGCTCCAGAAAAAAAAGTGTTATTTAACTCCTGAGGAATTGAAAAACTAAATTTGAAAGGAATCACTGCAACCGAAATGTCTTCCTATACATTTCTCCCTCTGTCTGGTCATCATTGTTGCTTTTTAACATAGTGTTGGTATGTATGCAAGTATGTGTCCATATGACTATATTCACAGATTATTTATTTATTGGCTTAAAATTACATTATGGAAATAATCATATCAGAGCTGATTTCCTCTTCCACTCTTCCTCCAGATCACTACCTCAGTAAAAATATATAGGGAAACAAGATACTTTAGAACCCAATTTATTATCTCCTGCTGGTAGCAATAACCTGAAAATAACAGCAAATAGTAAAATTCAAACTTGAGGCAGACACTGGTGCTGGAAACAGCTGTAGTCACATTTATGAAGGATAGATTCAATATAACAGCTATAGAAATGTGCAATGTTTCAGAGGCTCCCAGATTAGTACTTGATTGTTTTTTCAAGTTTGTTCCATAGATTGGGAAGAACACAGGATTTTAAAGGGTATGAACAAGCGTAATAAATAAACTGCTACTTGAATCAGAGGTACTGCCTCCCCCCTCACTCTTCTCTTCCCTGGCTTCTGCCTTTCTCCTTCCTCCCACCCCCAAAATGGCAAGTTTTTTTTCCAAGGAAGATTATTACACAAAATGCACTTTTTCTGTATGAAAGTAGGAAAATGCCATTACAGAGCCAATTACTGAGCAAAATCAGAAGGCTGTCCAGTACATCAAGACAGTCCTAGCAGCTGTGTTCATTTATCATAAGCATAATGTGAGGTTTTTTTATTCTGAACAGGGCATTCCAGCCAGGCTATCTGTGCCTTTTTGGAGGCTGCAGTGTGTGAGAATTTTGATGTTTAAAAGGTTCACATTAAAACCCCATCTTATAGTTCATTAAAAAAAAAAAAAAAAGTTATTTATTAGCCTATGAAAGAATAGCAGTAGAAAATCACATCAAGCTTTTAAATAAAACTGTTGGAAATCAGAGTTGTCAATCAAATGGCTGAAGAAGGGATGAAACTCTTATAGAGAGTCTGGCTATCGTGCTTGATATTGTGGCTCTTTATACCTGCCTGGTTTTGGAAAGGGATGTGTTGTATACGCATTTATTAAGGCAGCTTGTTTCTTTTTGTTCTTGTCTTATTCTTGAAGACTTTCACTGGAGAATTGTAGTCAGTGTAGGGTGAGCATAAACTGGCACAGACTAGAATATATTTGGATATTTGATTAGAATAGTCTTTGTATTTTCTGATTTACATTTTACAGAATATATAGAATTACTTAAGGAAGTGAGTAAATAAGCAGTCTTATTCCATGACAAGTAGGATCTCGGTCCTGGGAAAAGAGCTCCCAGTGCTAGAATTAAATAGGGCATCAGCCTGAGGGAGGAAGAGGAGCAGGAAGGTGGTTCACAGGGAGAGGAAGGCAGGGGTTTCCTCCAGAATAGGAAGGAGTCTTCCATGAGTCTGGGATGGCTGGTAGGCTCAGCCTACCAACAAAACCCTGCCCCTTTAACTTTTTGTAACCAATTTTTCTTGTTTTTCTTTTATCCAAAATCAGTTTAAAATACCCTAGGCACCACTGGTTGTAGCTGGTTAGTTTTCAAGGCAGGAGAACCAACCTGCTTTATCTAGTGCCTTCTACATTTAAATAGTTAAATTGCAATATAGAAACAATCTGAAAATCAGTGAGGAGGAAAGAGCCATTGGTAACAGTGATGCCTTGAGTTAGAGCAGAGTAGGACTGGACTTTATTCCTTGGGTTGACCATCTGCAGTCAATTTTATTTCCTTTCATTTCTTCAAGTGAACTCTCAAAAAATGATACAGTTTTGCAAAGCTTGATGCTGAAAGGCAGGTTAAGCCATGCACGAGACTTCTTGGTAAAATAAATACCCTTATCCTTAAAACTCTAGTATTTATCTCATTCTGTCTGTCACTTTCCTTGCAAGGTCTCTAGAAGAGGTCTGTTTATTTTAGCATTCAGGTGAATTGGATTTATGCCACCTTGTTGTAATCTCTAAATGAACATGTCAAAGGCCTTACAGTGTCTCAGAAACCATTCAGAAAACCGTCTTTTTTAGTAACATATCTTTCAGCTTAGAATTAAATCACGTCTGTTGTTTAATCCTGGTATTCTGATGAGCTGGAATCATAAGCACTGATATTGGTCTGAAGTCTCAGCTTCAGGATGTGCAAATCAAAATTTATTGGGATTTTGAGCACTGAAGTCTTGTGTTTTAAAAAAAAAAGTTCTGTTTTTCTTCAAATGATTCATTTTAAAGAAAATGGTAAAATATCAGAAAAAGAAAAGATTACTTTTATATTGGGCACATTTTTATAAAGTTTTTTTAAGTCAATTCCATGCATGGAAGCAAAGAAAAATAGACATTAAAAATAAAAATGAGGATAAAGCAAACTCAGTAGCTATAAAAATTAATGAAGTCTTCGTAATACCATAGCAGAGTAAACTTTAACAAGCCCTTGCCTTTTGAAAGACTGCTTTGATATTGATCTATCTAAAGAGACAGCCAAATTCAGCCCATAATGTAATTAAAATGCAATATCATATAATGACTCAGACGATAGATTTAAGAGTCTTTCCCCTTCTTTTCCTTCCTCCCTTTGCCCCGAATAAAGAGGCAAGAGAAGCTAATTGAAACTAGAAATCTCTTATGATAAATGAAAATACAAAGGGAATCAGCTTTCCAAATTTATTGTCAGTATCAACAAAACTGGTACTTTGGCAGAGTTTGGGGTTGGCCCATCTCATAGATGAAGAGATTTGGAGATCCGTGCCTGCCTTGGGTGCAGGCAATTCAAGTAAACATCTCGCCTCCCAGGCAGGAAAGATGCTTTCTGCATATGTCTGTGTAGAAGAAACTGAGAGCTCTGCTCAGTTTTATTGAAAGTAGATGAAGAAAATCCAGACCTCTGGATCCTGCATCTGTGATCTAGAGGTGGTGGTGCCCCTGAAGGGGATGGGTATGGGGAGATTCCCCTGTGCTCAGGCTTTTGTCACGTGTCACTGCCTGGCTCCCAATTGCAGCGTGAGCTTTTGGGATTTCCTTCTTACAGGTCTTTCTCTTCAGTATGGTGTGAAGAGGTCTTCTTGGCCATAAATGCGGGGGATTAGATTCCAGTTTGTTGCTCCAGCATTGGAGAAGATCAGCACTGAATTTAGTTTTAAAGCAGCCATTTACCATTAAGCATAGTCTTAACTGGCCTGCTGAGTATGGGTGATTTAGATAAAACTTTAAGTGCCTTGCTGAACACAGGATTAACTTTTTGGTCTGGGAGGTTAGACCCTAAAAAAGCACTGGATTTTGGTGCATTCTGGAAAACTAAGGCCAGCAGTAAACTCCGGACTCTGTGCATTGGTCAGGGCAAAGTTACAGCCATGCTTTTCTTTTTTCCTTTCTTTCTTTCCCTCTTAGTTACTAGACCAGTTAATGGGAAGCTATGCCTGGGTCCTGCTCCCTCCGCCTCCCAGCTGTGTAACCTGCCATGCCCGTCCGAGTGCGTGGTGTCTGCCTGGTCGGTGTGGGGCCCCTGCCTTCACGAGAACTGCCAGGACCGCCGTGGAGGAAGAGGTAATGGGTGCTTTTATATATTGCTTTTGGAGCATTGGGGGATCTAAAGTGGGTAATGGAATATTATGATAAGATTGCAAAAGCAGTGGTGTCAAATTCTACATTGGGAGCTTAATGTATTTTTTTAAAAATTAATCTTACATAGGATGAAGCACTTAGATGTGCGTACAGGAGTGGAATATGACCTTTAAAAGCTTTTTGCAGTTATTCTTGGGAGAAGAAAAAAAAAAAGATAAGATTTTCAGCCTGATTCAGATCTTTTTATCCTGCACTGAATTTGTAGAAAAGGAGGATTTCTTGGGATAGGAGCTGCAGACCTCGATAGTGCCAGGCTGTCCCTCTTTGATCGCCATCAGAAGTCCTGCTGCAGGCCTGGATTCGAGGGCAATGCTTGGGTGAGGTTAGGAGGCGTCAGGACTGAGGTGTATCCCACAGCCCTTCTGTCTTGGAGTTAGGCTGACCTGAGAGATTGTTCTCATTGTTCGGGGTTTGGTTTAAATTCCTGGAAGCAGAGTATGCAAATATAATTTAACCCCCCTGGATCTTAATTGACTAGCGTACATGTTTGTTGCTGCAACACTGATATTAATTGCAGAGGCTTTCCTAAGACTCTAAGTTGAAAAGATGACTGTTGGAGTTCATGTCGTTTGGAAATTACACTTTTCTGAAAACAGCATAAGTTTTTGAAGTGATTGGAGCTGGTCAGAGTTTTTCAAATTAAAAAAGAAATAATAAAAAATATATGGCTAAATAAAAGATTGGCAAAACCATTTAATTTTTAAATTGTTTTGTATGATTTCTTTTTGCTTATTTGAGAACAGTGGAAGTTTGGTCTGTTATATTCTCTGGAATGTTTAATTTTTCATTTTCTTTTCTGTTTCATGGCCAAGGCATTTCCATGTAGCCTCCACTAATGCTATATATTTGCCCCTTGTCTGAGACTGTTGTGGGAAAGACCACCATGTATTTTTTTCTGCCTGTCTTAGAATTCTGTGTCATTTACATAACAAAACATGCTGAAAGATGCTTGAGTATTAGTTCTGCATTTTATGTAGCAACATGACTTTTGGTTTTATTCAGAAGGAGGTAGATTATGTAATGAATTCTTTCATTATTTCTGTAACCTTTTTCTTCCACTTTACATTTGAATCTTCCAATTTAATAGGATGTCATTTCAAAGAGGTCTGATATGCATTATGTATCAGAAATCCTTACACCTTCATAAAGCAGAATACTAATTTCTTAGTATGCTCTGCTGTATCTCAAAATAAGTCTTTTTGTTAGTGGATTCCCGGGCAGAATATAGATGTCCTTTATATCTTCAATTCCTTAACTGTTTCTTTTTTCTTATTTTAATGTTGTTATTATATTAATATATGCATCAGTGGCAAATTCCTATATTTGGACATGTGTATTTCTATGTAATGTTGATGTAAGGGAAAAAGAAATGTGAAAAATGTGGGTTGTTAGAGTTCTTTACACACTATTAGATTTTGCTTGCGCGGACTGTGGGCACATACACCAGAGTACCATCTCAGTCAATTCAGTTTGTAAGCGGTGTGCTCATTTGTCTTTATATCCTCCAATTCCATATGCCCTATATGGTCCTCTTGCTACTAGATTATTGGTGTAAATATTTTTTGCTGTTGTCCAGTTAATTCAGTTTCTCTTTTTCCAGGCTTTAGAATGAGACAAAGGCAAGTGATTGTGGATCCAGTAGGCACACTGGCAGGTTGTCCGCATTTAATTGAATCTATTCCTTGTGAAGACCCGGTGTGTTATGAGTGGATCATTTCAGAAGGAATATGTGTGACTGAACGTGGAAAATGTGGACCTGGAAACCGCATGCTGAAGGCTGTATGCAAGAACAAGAAAGGTGCGTAATGGTATCATCTTAAAAGCCCCATGGTTTTTCGTGCCTCCTTCTAAAATGGCATTCTGCTGTAGAGCAATTGTGATTGTTTACAATAGCTCCTTACTGAATTTTTATGAAGCTTTCAGATTTTTGAGTTGACTCTGATGCTCACGAAAGCCTAGTGCTGATATGATCTGGGATTTTGCTTGGAGCCTTCTATTGTATTTTATCCTAAAGGAGATGGCTTACCAGTACAGGACGTGCTGTCACTGCTGGCCTTACTATGACAAAAGTGGGATACCAGTGGCCTGGTTCTCCCTAGAATCCTTTTTTTTGCACAACTTGTACTAAAGTAGGACTGTCACTGAGGCCAGCAGCACTATGGGCATTCACAAAATTAATCCAGCTCCTAGCATTTCGTCTATCCTTAGTTTTTAGTGTGCTGTCTGAATGTTTTATCTCGTTACAATAACCCTCTTACAATCATGAAAAGGGATGCTCGGCTGTGCTGCCAAAATTAATACAAGAATTAGATGTAAATGAAAAGATTGTACTAAGTAATAATTTACTTGGCAGCAGTTTGAGACCTGCGGTGTGTTCAGTTTACAAGTTGTTAATAATGAATAAGTACATTTTTATATGACGTTTACAAACAACCAGCAAGAGCTTATTTCTTGTGCATGGTTTGAACCTCAGCCAAAAGTTTCATTTCTTGATAAGGTCAGTGTTGTCAGATCTTTAGATTCAATTACATGGAGCACGATTTTGCAGTCCTTAGTTGCAGTGAGACTGTGCTATCATCTTAAAAGTGGCAAAACCGTGGAACTTTAGAGCCTGATATTATATCTGAAATGGAGAATTCTTTTACATGGTGCTCAGACTGATCACAGGAAACAAGTTTCAAGTTGATAACAACAGGGGTTAATTGGCAAGTGGTTAAAAATAGTGTGTCATTTACGAGGCATTAGAATCTGACAGAATGAAATGATGGTTGCTTTGCCTCAAGAGCACAGATCCTCCTGAAATATTTTCTTGTAAGTTTGTGAAAACGGGGCAACAAAATAAATCTTCAAGTGTTATAAAACAACATAGCTAGAATATACTGGAGAGCAGAGATCTGTCTCTGAATTTGGTCTGAGTGGTCTCTTCCGATGTGTGATCATAACTGTAGGTCTGGTCCTGCAGTGGTGTGTGCAGATGGAGTCTTGTATTGCTAAGGAGCACCATGTACTTCACACTGTTAAAACTGTGCCAACATCCATTTTTATGCTCCAACTTGCAACTCGGAATGAAAGCATAACATGGCAGATGCTCACTGATCTCTGATCAAACTGTTCTCTGTGACTATGATCCTTAAGAAGCCATGCCTTTGAAGTGTCTCTTCTTCACTTAATTGTTCAACAAGATATTGGGAGTCTCTCACTTTTCCACTTCAATGACTCTGTGCATGTTCTTGTTACCAAGAAAAAAAAGTTGGGACATTCTTCCCACCCCACCACCCTGGGGCAAACATTGTCACTAGATGTGATCATTGTCCATTTCTAATTGAGAAGGCTTCACAAGGAAGTAGCCAGATCACTAGGCAGATGAGAAGCACTGGTTAATACTAGTTTTAAACTTTTCTGAATTTTTGTTCCAGTAGGATTGGACTGGCGGAGTCCTTAAAGTCAAAGTTGAAAAAAAAAAGTAAATTTGCTTCTTCTTCTGTGATCTAGTGATATTAATTGCTTTGTTTATAACCTTTTTTTCTTCTGTAGTGTTCTCTTAACTGGATTCCCATTGCAATAAGTGGTGTATTTTCTTGCATAAAAGCTGGAGTAAGCAGCAGAGTTACATAAAGTATTTTGTCTGGAATAGTTGGTCAGTTGGCAGTGGGAAGCCAGTAGGGAGTCATGTGAAACTGTGAGACATATCAATTACAGGTAAAATAGCATAAGGCCTTGTTTTGGGTTTGTGTTGGCGTTTTTGGTAGTGGGGAAGGGGCTGCAGGGGTGGCTCCTGTGAGAAGCTGCTAGAAGCTTCCCCGGCTCCAAGTCAGACCCCACAACAGGCCTATACTAATGCATAGCATTATGCAGTTCAAAATTCTGTGCAAGTAACTGCTCTGCTGAAAGCATTTGAGGTAGCTGCATTATGTGCTGGTATTTTCATTTACTTAAGCATGTTTTGTCGAATTCACCCCCGTATCCTAAAATCCAGTCTTCTATCCAGTCATTCTGTCATCTGTGCCTGGCATTGTTGCTCAGTATTCCCACTGAATGCCTAAAGGGATAAAAAAAATGCATTTTTTTGGACCCTGTTGAATGACAAAATCCGATGTATCATCATCTTAACAAGAGTTCATTTGGGCCTGGAGTATGTTGATTAGGGTACTTTGGGTCTTCTGTGTATCCCTGTCTGCAAGACGTCTTCATTTTCATATAAATGCCAGACTTTTTGGCATGATGCTCTCCTCTTCTTGCTGCAGTGTGTTAGTTCATGTCTCTTTAGAAGTTGGAAGTAGCTGATCTGTCAGTCCTGTTTGTGTAAGCCATACTGCAGAAGAGCTTGGCATCACGGCTTCTTTTCCTTGCCCATCTTCCCCTCTCCCTCCATCCACAGCGTGGCTGAACCCATGTCCTTCGCTAGCCCATGCTGTGCTGTGTAATGCTGGGCTGTTGCATACTGCTGTCCACACCTCAGAGACCTGAGGCCTTTTTCATGAGGAGACTGGTTTTTCCCTTGCCAAAAATGAGCTTTAATTACATTGACTACAGCAGAAGGGAACTGACCACGTTTTTCAGTCCTCTCTCCCATGGCAGAGGACTTTGCTGCTGCCGGCAGAGCCTGTGCGATGCCGTTGGCCTAAACTTCCCTCCAGCAAGGTGGAGACTGGAGGTGCATCTTTGTCGCTGATACATGTTGATAGACAGTGAGTGAAGTTAAGAAGGCATTAACTCTTTCTGCCCACTTCTGGTCATCCTGATGTCGTTCTCCCATGCACGTCTCTTGTATGCTCGTGGTGCCAGCCTGTACGTACCATGAAAGAGGGTTGGGAGGAACCTGTCTGGGAGGTGAGCAGGGAGCAGTGGCTAACTTACCTGTTTCTCCAACTGAAACCTCACCTTCAGAGCTCCCTGTAGTGTCCTTTCTTTCCATTTTAAAAAGCCATCATTTCTGGTGAGAAGATTTTGCAGTAATGACCCAGGTAGCAAACTGCTGCTGGCCTGATCTGGAGCTTGAACTCAGGAGCAAGTCACACATGGGTCTATCTGGTTTGCAGGGTTTCTCTGAAGACTTCCCTGTCAAAGGAATGTCTCTATGTAAGGGCTTGTGTGAATTTCAGTGATGTAGCACTCTTACTTCCTCTCGGTATAGAGGTACAGAAATGACTTCTTGTTTCTTAAATAGGTTAATGTAGAGGGTCCATAATGAAGGGGCCTCCACAGGGCACATGCTATATACAGCATTTTTTCATGGAGTAGCTGGAGTCTGTAATTTGTGATTTGTAGCAGTTAGCATAGATGAGGAGGAATGAGAAGACCATAATCATCTCATTACTTTGGCATTGTTAGGTGTCTGCTCCCACCTAGCAGTGTCTCTAAGATCTGTGCATAAGTTATTGAACATGCATGTGATGCTTGTGAGAAACTCTTAATGTCTGGTCCATATCCCTCGAGTGCGCCTCTTCTGTAGTGTCAGAAGACAGTAGTGTAATACATCAAATGAAATTAAATAATGTGTAGAAATGCAATGAAGTAATGCATAGAATGGGGAAAGCCCTATATTGGATGCTTCTTCCAAACAAAATTTTTCAGCAAAGTGTTTTTTATTTTGCTAGTGAAGGACAACGGATACTTTTGGGGAAGTCTGTGAAGCCAAAAGAATAGTACAGGAAAATGAATGATGATACTAAAAATAGGATTATGTAAGTGTATCACTGGGTACCTGGATCTATAATTCAGATCAAAGAATTTATTTGAAAACTTTTTTATATTCACAGACAGCCCAAAAATTATTTGTGATTTTTCTCAGTTGTTGTTTTAGGTTGTTCAACAATGAATTGAATAATCTCCTGTTTGTAATGTATTCTTGAGCAGATAGTTACAAGTATTTGACATTTGAATTTGGACAGTCTTGATTAGAACCGACAAACATCACTGTGCATTGACCAGATGAAAATAACTCTCTGAAAACTTTCCAGTTCACCTGCTCTCCTTAAATATTGCTGCTCAGAAGATACAAAACCATGAACAAGGTCAAAACTTTTTCATTTTAAAATGCAATGGGACAGTAGCCAAAATGTATTGCATTTCATTTTTTGAAGACGATGACTCAAAGCATCTTTTGTGTGCTCTGCTGCTTAGGTCTTCGTGATAGGTACAAGCACTTTGAGTATGGTGAACAAAGGGAACTCAATGTTGTAGTAGCGTGCAGAAAACTGCAGATAATATTAGACAGCAGAGTTTGGCTCAGGGTCAGCAGGTAAAAGTTCAGTCCAAAAAGGAGTTGGTGTGCCTTCATAAGTCGTTTCCCAGTCTTTTGATTTAGATGCTAAGAAATACAACTGGCTTTACCCTATAAATGTTGTTGGGTTCATTCTGATGCAGGAATTTGGGAACCTTTTTTATTGTTATTTTCCATACCTATTTTAGGCTGTATTAATAATAGAAAAATAGATCGAAACAAGGCAAATGTTGAACCAAACTGCAGCTTTGAGAAATGCATGTTATAATCACGTAGCTTGTGAACAGAGCAGCTATTATGGTGAGGAGTACAACCTGAGAACATACGTAAAAGGAACTGCAACAATAAATTCATGAAATAACAAGTATGACTCATAAAAGTAACAATTCATTTTCCAAGCATTTTATAAATGTTTCTGACAATGCTGTAAACTAAATCTCACCTATTAGCAATGCTCTTGAATAGATTGTAAAATGTTATTATTCAGAATCATACCCGCAGTCGGCAATCCGTTTTGTTGTGATTCCCATGTCATCATTTATTAATTTGCTTCTGCTTGTTCTGATTCCTACCAG